TATAGTGCCCAGATTTTGTGTTCAAAGCTGTGAAATTACAAGAATACTGTTTTATTTACAACTGAGGCTCAATGAGTTGGCGTTTTGGAATAAAGTTGTTTAAACCATTAAGAATTCATATGTATACAGCTACGAAAATGTTCTGAATGTGCTTACAACTCTTAGAATACACAATGATAGTCCCGGGACATGATTCAGAATGTGTATGAAACACTTGAAATATATATATAGAGAGAGCCTTAACATCTAGAGAGAAGTGTTAAAACATTGAGAATTTGTTTACAAAAGTGTGAAATGATGAGAATACTTTTTATAGTTACAATTGTGGGGAAATGAGTTGGCATTTTTGGAATAAAGTGGTTTAAACCCTAAAGAATTCATGCTTATATTGCTAAGAAAATTGTCTGAATGTGGTTAAAACTCTTAGAATACACAATGATAGGAATGTTTATTAAACACATGGAATACATATAAATAGAGGCTTAATATCTGTAGGGCAGTGTTAAAACACTGAGAAGTTGTGTAGGAAGCTGTGAAATGATGAGTATGATATTTATATTTTAAATTCCGGCTGAATAAATTGGCGTTTTTGGGAGAAAGTGGTTGAAACCTTTGAAAATTCATAAGTATACTGCTCAGAATGTGTACAAAGCTGTGAAATGATGAGAATACTGTTTTATTTATAATTGAGGCTCAATGAGTTGGCGTTTTTGGAATAAAGTTTAAACCCTTTAGAATTCATGTGTATATAGCTAAGAAAATGGTCTGAATGTGGTTAAAACTATTAGAAAACACAATGATACTTGAGAGAAATGTTTGGGAATATCTATTAAACTCTGGAACTATAGGCAAATAGAGCTTTAAAATCTGTATGGCCTTGTTTAAACACCGAGAGTCGTGTACAAATCTGTGAAATGACAAATGTAGTGCTTATATTTACAATTCCGGCTTAGAGAGATGGCATTTTTGAAAGAATGTGGTTTAAACCCTCAGGAATTCATGTTTATAGGGCTCAGATTTTGTATGTAAAGCTGTGAAATGACAAGAGTACTCTTTATATTTACAATTGAAACAGAAAGAGTTGGAATTTTTAGAATAAAGTCATTTAAACCCTTAAGAATTGATGTGTATACAGCTAAGAAAACTGACTGAATGTGGTTAAAACTCTTAGAATACACAATGATAGTCACAGGAAGTGTATGGAAATGTCTATGATCACTTGGAATACATGTAATTAAAGCCTTAATATCTGTAGGGCAGTGTTAAAACACTGAGAATTTGTGTAGGAAGCTGTAAAAAGATGACTATACTGTTTATATTAACAATTCCAGCACAATGAGTTGGCATTTTTGGAAGAAAGTGGTTTAAACCCTTAAGAATTCATAATTACAGTGCCCAGATTTTGTGATCAAAGCAGTGAAATGACAAGAATACTGTTTTATTTACAATTGAGGCTCAATGAGTTGGTGTTTTGGAATTAAATCGTTTAAACCCTTAAGAATTCATATGTATACAGCTAGGAAAATGGTCTGAATGTGATTACAAATCTTAGAATACACAATGATAGTCCTAGTCCTGGGAATTGATTCGGAATGTGTATGAAACACAAGAAATATGTAGAGAGAGAGCCTTAACATCTGGAGAGACGTGTTAAAACACAGATAAGTTGTTTACAAACTGTGAAATAATGAGAATACTGTTTATAGTTACAATTGAGGGTAAATGAGTTGGCATTTTGGAATAAAATTGTTTAAACCCTTAAGAATTCATATGTATAAAGCTATGAAAACGGTCTGAATGTGCTTACAACTCTTAGAATACACAATGATAATCCTGGGAAATGATTCGGAATGAGTATGAAACACTTGAAATATTATAGAGAGAGCCTTAACATCTGGAGGGAAGTGTTAAAACACTGAGAGTTTGTATAAAAACCTGTGAAATGATGAGAATACAATATATAGTTACAGTTGAGGCTAAATGAGTTGGCGTTTTGGAATAAAATGGTTTAAACCCTTAAGAATTCATAAGTATACAGGTAAGAAAATGGTCTGAATGTGGTTCAATCTCTTAGATTTCACAATGATAGTCCTGGGAAATGATGAGGAATGTCTATGAAAACTTGGAATATATGGAAATAGAGCCTTAATATCTATAGGGCAGTGTTAAAACACTGAGAATTCATGTAGAAAGCTGTGACATGATGAGTATATTGTTTATATTTACAATTCCCGCTGAAGGAGTTGTCGTTTTGGAAGAAATTAGTTTAAACCCTTAAGAATTCAAGTGTATAGAGCTCAGAAAACTCTCTCCATGTGGATAAAATTCATAGAATACACAATGACTGACCCAAAATATGTTTGGGAATGTCTATGAAACTCTGGAAATGCATGGAATCAGAGCCTTAATATCTGTAGGACAGTGTTAAAACGCTGAAAAATTCTGTAGAAAGCTGGGAAATGATGCGTAAACTGTTTATATTTACAATTCCGGCTCAATGAGTTGGCGTTTTTTGGAAGAAACTGCTTTAAACACTTAGGAATTCATATTTATAGAGCTCAGATTTTGTGTATAAAGCTGTGAAATGACAAGAGTAATGTTTATATTGAGGCTTAATTAGTTGGCATTTTTGGAAGAAAGTAATTTAAACCCTTAAGAATCATGTATATACAGCTAAGAAAACTGTCTGAATGCGGTTAAACCTCTTAGAATACACAATGATAGACCAGGGAAATATTTGGGAATGTCTATGAACACTGGATATACATTTAAATAGATACTTTATATCCGTAGGGCAGTGTTAAAATACTGTCAATTCGTGTGCAAACCTGTGAAATGGCAAGAACACTGTTTATATTTACAATTCAGGCTCAATGAGTTGGCGTTTTTGTAAGAAAGTGGTTTAAACCCTTAAGATATCAAGTGTATAGAGCTCAGAATACTGTCCTAATGTGGTTAAAACTCTTAGAATACAAAATAATAGACCAGAGAAATGTTTGGGAATGTCTGTGACACTCTGTACATACATATAAATAGAGCCTTAATATCTGTAGGGCAGTGTGGAAACACTGAGAATTTGAGTACAAGGCTGTGAAATGAAGAGTATACGCTTTATATTTCAGCCTCCATGTGTTGTCGTTTTTGAAAGAAATAGATTTAAACCCTTAAGAATTCATGGATATAGAGCTCAGAATTTGTGTAATAAGCTATGAAATGAGAATATAGTTTACATTTTCAATTCAGTCTCAATGTGTTGGCATTGTTTGAATAAAGTGGATCAAACCCTTAAGAATTCATGCATATAGAACTCAGAAAACTGTTTGAATGTGTTTAAAATTCTTAGAATACACAATGATAGACCCAAGAAATGTTTCGGAATGTCTTTGAAACACTTGGAATACATGTAAATAGAGCTTTAATATCTGTATGGCAGTGTTAAATACTGAGAATTTGTGTAGAAAGCTGTGAAAAGACGAGTATACTGTTTATATTTACAATTCAGTCTCAATGAGTTGGCGTTTTGGGAAAAAAAGTGGTTTAAATCCTTAGGAATTGATGCATATAGAGCTCAGAAAACTGTCTCGATGTGGTTAAAACTCAAAGAGTACACAATGATTTGCACAGGGAAATGTTTGGAAATGTCTATGAAACTGAAAATACAAGTAAATTGAGCCTCAATATCGGTTGGACAGTGTTGAAACATGGAAAATTTGTGTACAAAGCTGTGAAATTAGGAGTATAATAATTATATTTGTATTTGAGCCTGAATGAGTTGGGGTTTTGAAAGAAAGTTGTTTAAACCCAAAAGAATTCATGTGTACAGAGCTCAGAAAACTGACTGAATGTGGTTAAAACTCTTAGAATACTCACTGATAGTCCCAGGAAATGTTTGGGAATGTCTATGAAACTCTTGGAATACAAGTAAATACACTCTTAATATCTGTAGGACAGTGTTAAAACAATATGAATTTGTGTACAAAGATCTGAAATGCAGAGTATACTGTTTATATTTCAGCCTAAATGAATTGGTGTTTTTGAATGAAAGTGGTTTAAACCCTTAAGAATTCATGTTAATAGAGCTCAGAATTTGTGTACAAAGTTGGGAAATGAGAATACTGTTTACATTTTCAATTCAGGCTCAATGAGTTGGCGTTTTTGGAATAAAGTGGTTTTAACCCTTAAGAGTTCATGTGTATACAGCTAAGAAAACTGACTGAATGTGGTTAAAACTCTTAGGATACACAATGATAGTCCCGGGAAATGATTAGGAATGTCTATGAAACACTTGGAATACATGTAAATAGAGCCTTAATATCTGTAGGGCATTGTTAAAATGCTGAAGATTTGTGTACAAAGCTGTGAAGTGAGGAGTATACTGTTTATATTTATACTTCAGCCTGAATGAGTTGGCGTTTTTGAAATAAAGTGGTTTATACCTTTAGGACTTCATGTTTATAGATGTTAGAATTTGTGTACAAAGCTGTGAAATGACGAGAATACTGTTTTCATTTACAATTGAGGCTCAATGAGTTAGTGTTATTGGAATAAAGTGGTTTTAACCCTTAGGAATTCATGTGTATACAGCTACGAAAATTGTCTGAATGTGGTTAAAACTTTTAGAATATACAATGATAGACCCGGGAAATGTTTGGGAATGTCTAGGAAAATGGAAACTCAGGTAAATAGAGTCTTAATATCTGTTTGGCAGCGTTAAAACAATGAGAATTTGTGTACAAAGCTGTGAAATGACAAGAATATGGTTTAAATTTACAAACGAGGCTCAATGAGTTGGAGTTTTTGGCAGAAAGTGGTTTCAACCCTTAAGAATTCATGAGTAGCCGTAACCGGTTTGGCTCAGTGGATAGAGCTTCGGCCTGCAGACTGAAGGGTCCCAGGTTCGACTCCGGTCAAGGGCATGTACCTTGGTTATGGGCACATCACCAGTAGGGGGTGTGCAGGAGGCAGCTGGTCGATGTTTCTCTCTCATCAATGTTTCTAACTCTCTATCCCTCTCCCTTCCTCTCTGTAAAAAAAATTAATAAAATATATTTTTTAAATAAGAATTCATGAATATATAGCTAAGGAAATGGTCTGAATGTGGTTAAAACTCAGAATACACAATGATAGTCCCAGGAAATGATGAGGAATGTCTATGAAACACTTGGAATATGGAAATAGAGCCTTAATATCTATAGGGAAATGTTAAAACACTGAGAATTCATGTAGAAAGCTGTGACATGATGAGTATACTGTTTATATTTACAATTCCGGCTCAAGGAGTTGTCTTTTTTGGAAGAAAGTGGTTTAAACCCTTAAAAATTCTTGTGTATAGAGCCCAGAAAACTGTCTCAATGTGTATAAAACTCAGAATACACAATGACTGACCAAGGAAATGTTTGTGAATGTGTATGAAACAAGGGAAATACGTGCAATTAGAGCCTTAATATATGTAAGGCAGTGGTAAAACACTGAAGAATAGTGTAGAAACCTGTGAAATGACGTGTATACTGTTTATATTTCCAATTCTGGCTCAATGAGTTGGTGTTTTCTGGAAGAAATTGGTTTAAACCCTTAGAAATTCATGTTTATACAGCACATATTTTGTGTATAAAGCTGTGAAATGACAAGAGTTCTGTTTTTATTTACAATTGAGGTTCAATCAGTTCGCGTTTTTGAATAAAGTGGTTCAACCCTTAAGAATTGAAGTGCATGCAGCTGAGAAAACAGTCTGAATGTGGTTAAAACTCTTAGAATACACAAACATACTCCAGGGAAATGATTAGGAATGTCTATTGAACACATGAAATACATGTAAACAGAGCCTTAATATCTGCAGGGAAGTTTTAAAACTCTGAGAATTTGTGTACAAAGCTGGGAATTGACTTGAATACTGCTTATATTTACAATTGAGGCTCAAGGAGTTGGCGTTTTTGGAAGAAGTGGTTTAAACCCTTAAGAACTCATGTTTGTACAACTCAATTTGTGTGCAAAGCAGTGAAATGATGAGAATACTGTTTACATTTAAAATTGAGGCTCAATGATATGGCGTTTTTTGGAATAAAGTGGTTTAAACTCTTAGAAATTCATGAGTATACAGCTAAGAAAATGGTCTGAATTTTGGAAAACTCTTACTATACACAATGATAGTCCCTGGAAATGAAGAGGAATGTCTATGAAATACTTGGAATAAATGGAAATAGAGCCTTAATGTATACAGGGCAGTGTTAAAACACTGAGAATTCATGCAGAAAGCGGTGAAATGACAAGTATACTGCTTTTATTTACAATCGATGCTCAGTGAGTGGGCGTTTTGGGAAGAAAGTTTTTTCAACCCCTAAAAATTCATGTGTATAGAGATCAGAATTTCTGTGCAAAACTGTGAAATGATGAGAATACTGTTTATATTTACACTTGAGGTTCAATTATTTGGAGATTTTGGGAAAAAGTTGTGTCAACTTTTAATTATTCACGTGTATTCAGGGAGGAAAACTGACTGAATGTGGTTAAAACTCTTAGAATACAAAATGATAGTCCCATGAAATAATTGGGAATGTCTATGAAACCCTTGGAATTCATGGAACTAGAGCCTTAATATCTGCAAGGCAGTGTTAAAACGCTGTGAATTTGTGTACAAAGCTGTGAAATGAACAGTATACTGTTTATATTTCAGCCTCAATGAGTTGGCGTTTTTAAAGACAGTGGTTTCAACCCTTAAGAATTGATGTTTATAGAGCTCAGAATTTGTGTACAAAGCTGTGAAATGAAGAGTATACAGTTTATAGTTCAGCCTGAATATGTTGGAGTTTTTGAAAGAAAGTGGTTTAAATCCTTAATATTTCATGTTTATAGAGGCTAGAATTTGTGTACAAAGCTGTGAAATGACAAGACTACTGTTTATATTTTCAATTGAGGCTCAATGAGTTGGTGTTTATTGAATAAAATTGTTAAACCCTTAAGAATTGAAGTGTATGCAGCTAAGAAAATACTCTGAATGTGGTTAAAACTATTAGAATACACAACGATACTCTGGAGAAATGATTAGGAATGTCTATTGAACACATGAAATACATGTAAACAGAGCCTTAATATCTGTAGGGCAGTGTTAAAACACTGAGAATTTGTGTACAAATCTGGGAATTGACTTGAATACTGCTTATATTTACAATTGAGGCTCAAGGAGTTGGCGTTTTTGGAAGAAAGAGGTTTAAACACTTAAGAGTTCAGGTTTATACAACTCAGAATTTGTGTACAAAGCTGTGAAATGACGAGAATACTGTTTACTTTTAAAATTGAGGCTCAATGAGTTGGTGTTTTTGGAATAAAGTGGTTTTAACCCTTAAGAATTCAAGTGTATACAGCTAAGAAAACTGACTGAATGTGGTTAAAACTCTTAGAATACAAAATGATAGTCCCGGGAAATGATTAGGAATGTCTAAGAAACACTTGAAATAGATGTAAATAGAGCCTTAATATCTGCAGGGCAGTGTTAAAATGCTGAGGATTTGTGTACAAAGCTGTAAAGTGAGGAGTATACTGATTATATTTATATTTCAGCCTGAATGAGTTGGCGTTTTTGAAATAAGTGGTTTATTGCAGGGCAGTGTTAAAATGCTGAGGATTTGTGTACAAAGCTGTAAAGTGAGGAGTATACTGATTATATTTATATTTCAGCCTGAATGAGTTGGCGTTTTTGAAATAAAGTGGTTTATACCTTTAGGACTTCATGTTTATAGATGTTAGAATTTGTGTACAAAGCTGTGAAATGACGAGAATACTGTTTTCATTTACAATTGAGGCTCAATGAGTTAGTGTTATTGGAATAAAGTGGTTTTAACCCTCAGGAATTCATGTGTATACAACTACGAAAATTGTCTGAATGTGGTTAAAACTTTTAGAATATAATATGATAAACCCGGAAAATGTTTGGGATTGTCTAGGAAACTCTGGAAGTACATGTAAATAGAGCCTTAAAATCTGTATGGCAGCGTTAAAACAATGAGAATTTGTGTACAAAGCTGTGAAATGACAAGAATATGGTTTAAATTTACAAATGAGGCTCAATGAGTTGGCGTTTTTGGCAGAAAGTGGTTTCAACCCTTAAGAATTCATATTTATAGGGATTAGAATTTCGGTATAAAGCTGTGAAGTGAAGAGAATATGGTTTATATTTACAATTGAGGCTCAGTGAGTTGGAGATTTTGGAAAAAAGTGGTTTCAACCCTTAATTATTCACGTGTATGCAGCTAAGAAAACTGATTTAATGTGATTAAAACTCTTAGAATACACAATGATACTCCCAGGAAATGATTTGGAATGTCCATGAAACATTTACCTGTCTTGGAATACAGGTAAAAGGAGCCTTCATATCTGTATGGAAGTGTTAAAACACTAAGAATTCTTGTACAAAGCTGTGAAATGACGAGTATACTGTTTATATTTACAATTCTGGCTCAATGAGTGGACCTTTTGGAATAAATTGGTATTTACCCCTGAGAGTTCACCTGTATAGAGTCTGAAAACTGTCTGAATGTGATTAAGCTCTTAGAATACACAATGATAGACCCGGGAAATGTTTGTGAAAGTCTTTGAAAAACTTGGAATACATGTAAATACAGCCTTAATATTTCCAGGGCCATGTTAAAAGACTGAGAATTTGTGTAGAAAGCTGTGAATAGATGAGTATACTGTTTATATTTACAATTCAGTCTCAATGAGTTGTTGTTTTTGGAAGAAAGTGGTTTCAACTGTTAAGAATTCATGAGCATACAGCTAGGAAAATAGTCTGAATGTGGTTAAAACTCAGAATACAAAATGATAGTCCCAGGAAATGATGAGTAATGACTATGAAACAGTTGGAATATATGGAAATAGAGCCTTAATATCTATAGGACAGTGTTAAAACACAGAGAATTCGTGTAGAAAGCTGTAACATGACGAGTATACATTTATAATGACGAGTATATATTTACAATTCCGGCTCAAGGAGTTGTCGTTTTTGGAAGAAACTCTTTAAACCCTTAAGAATTGTTGTTTATAGAGCTCAGAAAACTGTCTTAATGTGGATAAAACTCATAGAATACACAATGACTGACCCAGGAAATGTTTGGGAATGTTTATGAAACTCTGGAAATACGTGCAATTAGAGCCTTAATATCTGTAGGGCAGTGGTAAAACACTGAAGAATCGTGTAGAAAGCTGTGAAATGACGTGTATACTGTTTATATTTCCAATTCTGGCTCAATGAGTTGGTGTATTTTTGAAGAAATTGGTTTAAATCCTTTGGAATTCATGTTTATAGAGCACATATTTTGTGTATAAAGCTGTGAAATGACGAGAATACTGTTTATATTTACAATTGAAACTCAATGAGTTGGCATTTTTGGAATAAAGTTATTTCAACCCTTAAGAATTCATGAGTGTACAGCTAAGAAAATGGTCTGCATGTGGTTAAAACTATTAGAACACACAATGACACTCCCAGGAAATGTATGTGAATATCTATGAAACTCTGGAAATATAGGTAAATAGAGCCTTAGTATCTGTATGGCAATGTTAAAACACTGAGAAGTCATGTAGAAAGCTGTGAAATGACGGGTATTCTCTTTATATTTACAATTTAGGCTCATTGAGATGGCGTTTTTGAGAGAATGTATTTTAAACACTCAGGAATTCATGTTTATAGAGCTCTGATTTTGTGTGTAAAGCTGTGAAATGATGAGAATACTGTTTCTATTTACAATTGAAGCTCAAAGAGTTGGCATTTTTGGAATAAAGTCGTTTTAACCCTTAAGAATTGATGTGTATACAGAAAACTGCCTGAATGTGGTTAAAACTCTTAGAACACACAATCATAGCCATGGGAAATGTTTGGGAATATCTATGAACACTTGGAATACATATAATTAAAGCCTTAATATCTGTAGGGCAGTGTTTAAACACTGAGAATTCGTGTTGAAGGCTGTGAAAAGATGACTATACTGTTTATATTTGCAACTAGAGGCCTAGTGCACAAAAATTCGTGCCCTCAGAGTGGGGATTCCTCAGCCAGGCCTATGCCCTCTTTCAGTCTGGGACCCATTGGGGGATGACCACCTGCTGGCTTAGGCCCGCTCCCCAGGGGTGGGCCTAAGCCTGGCAATCAGACATCCCTCTGGCAGCCTGTGAGCCCTCAGGGGATGTCCACTTGCCAGCGGGAAGCAGGCCTAAGCTACAGTCAGACATCGTTAGTGCTGCTGAGGAGGCAGGAGAGGCTCCCACCACCACCGCTATACTGGCAGCCATCAGGCTGGCTTGTGGCTGAGCAGAGCTCCCCATGTGGGAGCTCACTGACTACCAGAGGGCAGCTCCTGCATTGAGCATCTGCCCCCTGGTGGTCAGTGTGTGTCATAGTGACCAGTCATTCCCAGTCCTTCTTCTGTTAGGGTCAGTTTGCATATTACCCTTTTACTATATAAGATATAGGCCTGGTGCATGGGTGGGGGCCGGCTGGTTTGCCCTGAAGGGTGTCCCGGATCAGGGTGGGGGTCCCACTTGGGTGCCTGGCCAGACTGGTGATGGTCTGATGGGTGTTTTCAGGCTGGTCACACACGCTTCAGGGTGGGGGTCCCCACTGGGGTGCCTGGACAGCCTGGGTGAGGGGCTGATGGCTGTTTGCAGCTGGCCATACCCCCTTCAGGGTGGGGGTCCCCACTGGGATGCCTGTCTAGTCTGGGTGAGGGGCTGAGGGCCGTTTTCAGGCTGGCCAAGCTCCCAGGCTACAGAAACTCCCAGCCTCTCCTTTTTTTCTTTTTTCTTTTTATTCTGGAATATATTTACCTGCTATAATTGAAACTTTGTTGTCTTCAGTGGAGATCAGAGCCGGCCGCGGCATGTGGAAGCTTGGCTTCCTCCATCACTGGATCAACCAAGCCTCCTGCTCACTCCAGCTCTGTGGTTGCAGGCTGCCATCTTGGTTGGCTTAATTTCCATACAGTCGCTCTGATTGGCTGGTGGGCATGGCTTAAGGTGTAGCGAAGGTATGGTCAATTTGCATGTTTGTCTTTTATTAGATTAGACTAGAGGCCCGGTGCACAAACATTTGTGCACTCAGG